CCCCAAAACCCCAAAACCCCAAAACCCCAAAACCCCATGTTTTTTGGATAACTTCTAATAAATGAAATGTTTTTTATCTTAAATAAAATTGTGATATACTCTAAGAAAGAATTGATAAAATTAATGTTAAATCCTTTAAATATTCATAATCCGTAGTCAAACATATTTAAGCTTGTGTCTATTGTAACTTATTACTTTAAATTCTTGATTTTTTTCTTATCTTAGTTGCAAGAGGCAACTTTCAAAGTTTTATTCTGATATTTAGGAGATAAAATATCTCCTTTATTTAGCATACTACTGCCAGCAAACGAATTGAATATAGAATTATTAAGCGAAGTCTTTTACCTTTTACTATACTTCTTAAGTAGAAGTGAAGTAGTCTGCTCGATCAAACTATTTCTGTAGACATGAGAATTACTATCTTTTACCGATTTGATATTTTGATAACTTGTTTTAGAAAATTTATCAATGCATTGATTTCTACTGTTAGTAACTTATTATGGCTGCTAGGACTTTTTAATTTCTACAGAATTTCTACTTATATTAGGGATTTATTAAGTCTTTGCCTTTTTATTCAAGATTATGCCATAATCTTTGTTTAAGACTGGTTTCTTGCTGCTCTTAGGTGTTGTAATAGACTTTATTGATGAGCAATTTGACCCCAATTAAGATCTTTGCTTTTTAATAGGTTCAAAGGATGGCAGAATCTTCATTTTGTTCATTGCTGCAACAGTGGGTGACAAAAGTTGACTGCTTAATCTACCATTCAATGATAAACTTTGCCTGCTACTGCTATTATTTATTCTCAATCTAGATTGTGGTGCCTTGCTATCTTTGTTTTGTCCAAGTGGTGTGCTTACAAATGATTTGCTCTAAGGTGATCTTTCCTTTTTAATTCTTTATAATTTTGATTAGTCCTTTGTAACAATTTTATTCTATTGTTCCCTAACTGACTCAAATAACGACAACCTTTGCATACTTCCCCAACCCTATAATTTTCTCTTGACCGCTTATGATCCATTTGAAATTTATCTAAAATGTTGGGATGATTAAACTTACTTCTTCTCATCAAATTTAATTGTATCCTCTTTTTGACTGGATGATCGATTTTATAATTGAGAAGATTTTTAGAGTCCCGCACTATGGAACACCTTATTATCCTCCTTTTTTGTGATTTGCAAATCATTTGGCTAATGACTCTCAGTTGATTGAGTTTCAATGCTAAGGATCTCCACATTTTAAGTATGCTTTTCAGGCTTTGAAATAAGATTCAAATTTAAGTTAAAGGCTTATGCATAACTATTTTCTGAAATTTTTCGGTGATGCTAGCCTCGCTTGTGAAAACTTATCATGTTTGCTCCGCCAACAGTGCCTCGTTTAAGAGTTTCCTAGATGGTTTCTTTCAGAATTTAGTTAAAGGTCTAAGAAATTCATGAAGTCTATTAAAGATATACTTAGAATGGATTGAAGTCTTCATGGTTTTCAACGATTAAGTGTTCCGTGATGACATTAGAGAAAGTCACTGTTTTAGCTAATCGCTCGTTAGATAGATCTAAATGCTTCATGTATTAACAATCAAACAATGATTTAAAATAATAATTGCTTCGATTAAATATTATATGCAATCTTTAACTATGTCTTTTTTTACTCTTTTTTTAGTCATGGGGTTTTGGGGTTTTGGGG